GTCCCTCTGTTTAATTGTTTAGCAACAGGGTTCCATGTACCCCAGTCTGGCCTCGACTTGCTGTGGACCTGAAAATGAGACCAGAGATGGGCAGGATGTGGGTGCCCACAGATAAAGCCCATGTGATGTCACCAGTTCTCTCCCACATGGGACCAGAGCCAGCATCTGTCTTGCACGTCCATCTACATACACGAACACCAGGACCAGTGGCAGACAGATGTGGCTCTGCTGTTTTTTTTTTTTTTTTTCCATCTCTGAGTGGCTGGGAGCCTCAGACACATGAGGAGCCTTTGGTGCCCGTGATAATGACATTCTTAAAGAAACAGCTTTTAAATAATTCAGAGTCACATCTGTCAACACCCCACAGGCTCTGTTTGGAGATATGATTTCCTAAGGGCGGAAAGTCAAGTATCCCCAGGGGCAGGGAGGCTGAAATGATGATGAGAGGGAGGACCAGGCTCTCTGTAACATGATTCCACCTTTCCTAACAGGGCTGCGCTAGAATAGAATGAAAGCCCCACTGTCATCCAACCACAGCCATCCTATGGCCCAACCCCCTTACTGTGCTTGTAACCAACACAGGCTGCTCAAGGCAAGGCGTCCTACAGCTTCCTTAGGACCACCTGTTCTTGAGCTCAGTGGCTTGCATACTGCCCCTCTGAATGCAAGGGGCTGCAGTTTCCTCAGAGAAGCCCAAGGGCCACTCAAAGGTGTGCTCCCAACAGGGAAAGAGCCCAGAGGCTTCGCACACCCTGCCTAGCAGGAGAAGGTGCAAGAACCTCTGGTTCAGTGTTCCCTCAGTAGACTGCAAGCAGAGAGATTGGAACAGGGGTCCCAGAGGCTACTGTTTCCTTGGCGACCAAGACCGAGGTTCCTGGGTCCTGGGTTCGGGCAGCAAAGCGGTCAGTGGCTATGGAGAGCTGTGCAGGTACAAGGAGAGTTTCAGATTTCCTGTTCTTTCTGATTTTAGAGTCTCTGCATGTTCCATTGTTTATCTGGGCACAAGACTCAAGTCTGAACACTAGATTTGTTTCTGTGTCATGGACACGGTAATCCCTCGACCTGAAGGCAATTTCGGATGATATTACCATTGTGTCTGTACTGTGACTGCGGCCTATCATGTGTCAACATGCTCATACTCAAGAAGTTCCAGGTTTTGGAGCATTTGGATTTTAGATTTTTGGGTTTGGGTTGGGCTGAGTATCACTCAGCCTGTAAAAGAAAAAGCGCTCTGAGGAGTCACCTTTTTTTTTGACTGCAAAAGCAGCCCAACACTTGGGCCCTTGGGCAATTCATCCAAGGTCCATGCCTCTATTCTCTGAACCTGTGCAGAGAAGTCCACAAATGCATATAGTATTCCAGATGGTCCTGGCCCTACATGGTTCGTAACACATGCTGGAAAGCTGCTGGCTTCAAGGACCCTGGCTGGAAGACACCCGTCTGGATAGGCAAGAGGATAAATGCTCACATAGCATCTGGTTGCTAGGTGATGCTCTGTGGGCTTCTGCAGGCTGGTGAGGTCATCATATGCGGGTTAGGCCACTTCACTGTGTCTTTACCCTGCTCCTGGAACTTTCTCAGGGCCTTATTATTATCTTTACACCTCTCTCTTTCTCACTCTGTATGTTCATCTGTAAGTATGGGCATGTGTATAACATGGTGCGTGTGTGGAGGTGAGAAGACGTTCTTTGGTATGATCCTCACCTACTTTGAGACAGGGTTTCTTGTTCTCTCTCCAGGATTTTGGGGGGTGGGTGGGCGGTTTCGAGACAAGGTTTCTCTGTGTATATCCATGGCTGTCTTGGAACACACTCTGTAGACCAGACTGGCCTCAAACTCACAGAGATCCACCTGCCACTGCTTCATGAGAGCTGGGATTAAAGGTGTGTGCTGCCACCACCTGGAGCTTCAGGGATCTTTTTAATCATGGAAGGAAGTGACTGACCTGAGTCCTAGGGCTGGTCCATGATGCATCCGCTTTGCTGCCTGCCTGAGGCATACATCCATGATGTGCTGCAATCATGCACCTGGCACAGAGACTGCCAAGAGGCTGTGACCATGACATGGACAAGATCCTATCACCTAGACCAGGGGCCTAGGGGTGGAAGGGATGTGTGGCCTCACCCAGAAGTCACTAATTTGACAGACAAGGGATAAGCCCCAAGCCTTACATTCAAGGCTGCCAATTGAGGGGGTGTTATGCTGGGCTGTGGTGTGTTGTAGTGGGCTAGCAATCCCATTACAAGTTGCGCACACTAGGAGAGAGTCATGCACTCCCACAGAACTCTGGAGGCTGGACGCACCGCTGGCTCTGACATTTGACCAGGACTTTCCCTTCCAGGTGGACCTGGCCAACTCCTGTCAGGGTGGTTGCTCCCAGGAGCTGCAGAAGGCAGCAGACTCGCACTGGGGGGCCAGGGCTTTGGGCTCCTGCTCAGACAATCCTTTGTAAGTCATTTGTGTTTTGTGTGCCTGAGACAGACACACCCCACAGACTCAAGTCAGACGAGTAAACGTTTCGTCGCTGAGCCATGGGTGCTCACTAGAACATTGCTGTGGCTGGCATGCTACCACCTCTCCCTCTCCCTTACTGTTGCTCTCTCTTTAAACATGTCTTTCTCTTTTTCTCCCATTGAAGCTATTTGCTCCTGAACAGTTGGATTCTAGGGGGAAAGATGTCATAGTTGGCAGGACTCTTTGCGAACTAGGCCTCGATCCTCTCCTCAGTGACATGGAGCAGACCCTACCAGAGGGAGGGAGAAGGAAACCGTGATGAATGCTGTGAGGGGCTTGTAGTCCACTATTTTGAATTTTAATCTTTTGGCTGGGTCTTGTACTATAGCTCAGGTTGGTTTAAACTCTTTCTTAAAAGCAAGATTTATTTATTTTTATTTTCTGTGTATGTGTTTTGCCTGCATGTGTGTGTGTGCACTACATGTGTGCAGTGCCCATGAAGGCCAGAAGAGGAAGTTAAATCCCCTGAAAATGGAGTTACAGATGGTTGTGAGCTACTGTGTGCCAGGAGCACCGACTGACAGGGAGTCGGATAATGTAACCGACATAGGTGGGCTCTGGGCTTCCACACAGGGACACCCACATGCTCTGTCCATATTCTTTCCTGCCTGGAGTCCTGGAGGGTGAAGATTATGGGGTTTCATATCCAGGAACATCCAAGAATGTGGGAACTGGGTCTCATAGAGAAGCCCTGTGTTACCATGTGTGGGCTGAACTACATACAACCTCGTGTTCCCACCAGATGCTGAAGCCATAACTCTTGTTACCTGCGAAGGTGACTTTAATTGCAAAGAGGATCAGTGTTTCAGTGACGTCACTAGGGTGGGCTCCAATCCAATCCAACCGTGTCCTCACAATAAGGGGAAATGGATGCCAAGGATGCCACATGTAGTAGAAGTGGGCACCATGGGGTACCTAGTGTGACCATTCAGCCAGGCAGCAGGTATGCAGGCAGGATGTTAAACCACACCACTCATTTCCCTCAGTCCTCAGCAGAACACCAGGTTGCAAGAAGGGAGAACGGCTCGTGGAGTATCAGGGTTATCCATGAGCCCATAGCATATCAGGGTTATCCATGAGCCCATAGAGTATCAGGGTTATCCATGAGCTCATAGAGTATCAGGATTATCCATGAGCTCATAGAATATCAGGGGTTATCCATGAGCCCATAGAGTATCAGGGGTTATCCATGAGCCCATAGAGTATCAGGGGTTATCCATGAGCTCATAGAGTATCAGGGGTTATCATCTATGAGCTCTTACATGTCAACAAATACAAACAGCACACACTGCCTTCCTCCTTCTCCTCTTCTTCATTTTTCAAGACAGGGCTTCTCTATGTATCCTTGTCTGTTCTGAAACTTGCTCTGTAGACCAGGCTGGCCTTGAACTTAGAGATTTGCCTGCCTCTGCCTCTCAAGTGCTGGGATTAAAGATGTGCAATACCATATTTGGCTACATTTTTTTTTGAGACAAGGTCTCTTTATCAGGTAGCTCTGGTTGTTCTGGAACTCAGTATATAGACCAGGCTGGCCTTGAACTCACTGAGTTCCACTTGTCTCTGCCTGTGTTGAGATTAAAGGTGTGCACCACCCATGCCCAGCTCCAGCACATGCTTTCTTAAGAAAGGCGATGCTGGGACTCTGGAGCAGCCTAACGGTGAAGTGAAGGTACCAGGCAGGGCTTAAGCAGGAGCGATTTCTTACAGAGGAATTAATTGTCAAGCTGCTGAAGACCACAGAGGCCACTTGGGTGGGAAGCTGTAGGCAATCCTATAGCCAGGTTTCTTCTCTGCTATGTGTCCACTGGAGTGTGCAGATTCTTGGCGAGTGGTGATGCCCAAGGAGCTGTACCAGAATCTTTCAGGGGACACAGACGGAAACCCAAGAGCTTCAAATCTCCCAGGCTCTTGGAAAAGTTCCCAAGTGAGGCTAGAGATGAGGCTTGGGAGTGGGCCTGGTCACTCTAAAAACCCACTTTTCCCAGCGGCCCTAGCGGAAAGATGGTTTGGGTGCCAAATACCTTCTCGGCATTTGTTCCCATTTACTCTGATGGCCACCCTTGACCTCCCTTCCTCCCATCCTCCCACCTTTCTTCCTGTAGTTCCTTCATGTCATGGCCATGACCATCTGACCTGCAGGCAGATACACCTCTGAGTACCCATGGAGCCTCAGCAGAGGCAAGAGCGAAGCCCCTACTGACTGCTGTTCAAATCCGGCCTGTCCTGGCTACATCCAGAAGATTTCAACCATGACCTGAGTTGTCTGGGGGAATGGCCACCCAACCTCAGTGCTCACAGGCTGTTGTGGATTCTAGGCATTTTCAGGGATACCTCAGCTGGGTCACACGTCTGATAGAGCATTGGACCTATAGAGCCTTATGCATCTTCAGGCCCTGAAGTTGGGGTGGGGTGGGGCTGGATTGTCTCGTGAACCTTGACTCCTACTCTTCCAAGTCTCAGAAAGATTTTGAAGGAACAGCACTTACTTCTCTTATCCGTGGTGTTATGTACAGTCACAGTGGGTACACCAGGGCCTGGGTTCAGAGAGCAGAGAGGAAAAAGAGAAAGAAAAAACAAGGTCATTAGTTTAGAAGAAAATAAAAAAAATAAGCTTTCCTTATGCCATGTAGACTGTGTGGCTCCAGAGGATAATGCAGCCAGAAGAGGCATGGCTCTCTAACACCACAGTCAGGTTCGTTACCAGGATTCCTGGTCATGGTACAGATCACGGCTAATTTGACAGGTGTGGGAGAGGACCTGAGTAGGATCCCTACAGCCCACATGAAGGGCCAGCCCACACGGCTTGGCATCCCGCCTGCCGATTCCAGCCTCCGCAAGCAGATCCAGAGGACCCCAGAACAGGCTGGCTAGCGAGATGAGCAATACTGGCGTGCTCTGGGTTTGATTGAGAATGTCTGCTTCAGTGAATTCAGAGGAGAAGCAATGGATGATTCCTGACATCAACATCAGGCCCCTCCATGCAGGTGCACACACAAATGCGTGTGCAGCCACACTCATATGCAAACATACATATGCTAGTATGCAAACACACAACATGGAAAATGAAAAGCACTGATCTTATGATGGTGTCCTCTGGAAGGGTATCTAGTCTGGACTTTGCTTATTAGCTTCTGAAGGAAGCCCTTGGCTACTTCGCTTTTTCTGTGTAGTTCTTCAGTTCTTTGAACAAGGCAGACAGGTGTCTGATTCTGACAGACACCACCGGTCACTCCTGTACAGCTTTCCAGATCGCCGCATGGCGTGAATATTGTATTTGGATTAAAGCACCATAACTTCATTTTCACTATTGAGCCAATTCCATGATGCTTTCCTGGACTTAGTCTACATTACTCAAGCCTCAAGCTTGAAAAACAAAAGACAAAAAACAATCACCAGAATCCTGGAAAGAAGGCACCATAGTTTCTAGTCTCTGACCTCCTGTGATCTTTTGCAAACATGCGTGGAATGGATTGTGAATGTGTGACTCTGTTCAGTGAGCCCCTTCAATGGATAGCTTCCCAGCTTTAGGTTGTTCCGGCCTTGGGAGTTAGGAGGATGCTCTCAAGACAACAGCACCCTGCTTGGCCGTCCACGGGTTCATGGCTGCTATCATCAATAGCAGGGCCAGGAAGAAGGCCTTCTGAATTACTTTTGTTTGGTGATTTAGCTGCTAGGCTGGGGTCCTTTCCCAACATCCTCTTGCCTCTTTTGCTCTTTGCACGCTTGGGTCTGCCAGCTGTGCCAGCTGTAGGGTCTGAGGGAGGCTGAGCTGCCCTCAGGGGGTCATTGTTCTTCCTGGCCCCTGATATCAGCATGACTGGTCTCTTCTTTCTCTGTTGGAAAGCCTTTCACTACCTAGTCTGAAAGAGTACCCACCCATGACCACAGGGCTGGTCACCCACTCGCCTTCTCTCACAGGGTACCATGGCACAGACTGTGATGTCAGGCCTTGGACATTATGGCTGTGCTGGCTCTTGTCCCTTATCTTCAGCGTTAGGACATAGCTCCATGAAGGGCAAGTGTTTGTTACCAGCATTGAGACACATCCTCAGAGTGATGCAGAAATAGCGAGATGGATCGTAAAGGAGATGCCGCTTTTCGGGCTGGGGTAGGCACTGAGTAGTGACAAAAGGAGAAAGAGCAAGCTTGAGGCGTCTGCCTGCACTTGGCTGGGGACGTGTGTGTGTGTGTGTGTGTGTGTGTGTGTGTGTGCGCGCGTGCGTGTATGTATGTGACATCAATATTACAGAATGCATATTTAGGAAGAGCACTGTGGACTTTGCATCCACATGGTCACTGTCAGAACTTCCTGTATATTCAGGGTTCATGTAAAGCTGAGGGCCAGAGATCCGCCATGGGTCCCAGCATGGCTTATAAACCTCATGCAACATCTGGAGAATGGACTGCCCAGTTCAGGCCTGAGAATGGTGCTCTATGTTGATAGGCAGAGAGAGGAAGGCTCAGGCCTGAGAAGGATGCTCTGTGTTGATAGGCAGAGAGAGGAAGGCTCAGTCAGAGTGTGCTGGAGGGTGCCGCTGGGCTGGGGTCACAGACTGAGGTCACGGTAGAGCAGAGACGGACTGCCCTGGAGCTGACCCGGACACCACTCAGTGCACACAGTGACGACCCAGAAGCACATATTCATTATGCAAACTAGTGGCTTTCTCTGGAACACCCTACACTTGCATATATCACCATATGTTCCTCAGTGGTCCTTTCTTACTGTTTTCTTCTCAGGCTCCCTTTCTCTTCCATTATAGTCTTCTTTCTACTTTCTTGTCTTAAAAAAATCTAGAATGGGGCTGGAGAGATGGCTCAGTAGTAAAAGTGTATACTGCTCCTGCCAAGGGCCTGAGTTTGGTTCCTAGTACCCATGATGGGCAGCTCACAATGGTTGGCCACTCTAGCTCCAAGGGTTTCTGATGCCTCTGGGCTCTGAGGAACCTGTACCCACGTGCGCATACCCCCCCATGCACATAATTAGATTAAAACAATGCAGGAGGTGGGGGGGTGTTAGGGGACATCTTTGAGAAGTAGGAGGGGGAGCTGGGGATGGGATGGATATTGATAGAAGACATGTTGGATACAAATTTAAAATTGTTGAAGAATAAGTAAAAAAGAAATAAAACCTAGATTTTTGCATCTGAGAGAAAATGTACATTATTTGTCTTTCTGATCCCGGCTTATAGCACTTAACATAATGATCTCAGGTCCACCTATTTTTGTACGAACGATGGATTCCCATTCTTCTTCATGGCTGAATAATACTTCACTCCATGTAAATGTTACACTCTCCTCAACCATCACCAGTGAGTGGGCACCTTGGCTGAGGCCCTGACTCGGCCACTGTGAACAGAGCCGCTACAAATACAAGAAGTGTTGGAATATTCCGACTTAAGATTCCTTTGTCTCGGAGTGGCACAGCCAATCATTGAGCCCTGGAGCCTCCACACTGGCCTCTACAGTGAATGCTTTACAGTTCTAGGCCCCTCCCCCATGCTATGCCCCTTGCTTATCCATCCAGCCACAGACTGGTCAGGGAAAAAAAATTGCAGGCTGCTTGGTTACCTGTGAATTTCTGAGAAGCACTGACAATCTTTTCACTATAAATAGATCCCTGTGGTACTTAGGGTATACTGACAAAAACTAATAGTTGTTTGTCTAAAACTCACACGTGGCTAGGCAGCCAGTACTTCTTATTCACTGACGCCGGCACTTCCTTCCTAGAGGGGAGAAGCCATGCAACATCTGTCTGTGCACGCCAACGGGCAGGTAAGCACTGACTGTGGGGGTAAAATATGGAGGCACACTAAGTACCCCGTTCTGCCATCCCTTCCCCTGAGAGCCTGTGCAGCAAGCAAAGTGGCCATTGAGAGATAACGAGCCTACAGCTGTTTGCCGCGCACAAACCGAAAAGAGAAAATTTGCAAACAGTCTATACCCCACGCTCTTATTAATAATGTAAACAATGATTACTTATTCAGTGCCTACTATGTAAAAGGCATCCTGGTAACTCTCCTATGAATAATTTCAAGTCCAATCTTCAGAGCCCTGCCGCAAAGACACTTCAAACAGCTTAGAGACAGGAACACAGCGGCAGAGCAAGCTTCCCGTCTTTTGTCGCAGTTGTGCAGTGAGAAAGTCGCAGCTTGGAGGAGGTGTCATTTGCTAATACAGCAACTTAATACATGTCTTGAAACAAAAATTCAAATGGTAAAGAAAGGGACTAAGTGACAGTAAAGGATCCACTTTTCCCTTTCTCCAAAAAGGAGCCCAAACCCTTCTAGAATATCCTAGTGTGCACCTGTAGCCATGTACTCACATTTACATATAAGTGTTTTTGAAAATAAAAAAATAATCACATGCAAAATTAACCAGATCCAAAGTCTGCACAGCTCAATGAACTTCTATACCATTAGCGCAGCCATTTGATGCGGAGCAGTGAAATCTCACATTGGATTTTACACTTTCACTATTGAATGAATATTTTATGTAATTATCCACCACCAAACACGAAACTCCATGACAGAGCTAGAACTAGAAAAGCTGTATATCTTCTTTGCTAACTATGTTATGAAATACTAAAATATTTTAAAAGTTTTATTATTTTATATTTTTTTTGGGGGGGGCTAGGTATCACTATCTTTTTTTTTTTTTCCTCAATAGGTCTTTATTAAGACTAATCCATCTACAGAGAAAAGCGAAGGCAACAAAACTCTTCAAAACCTGTCATCTTCAGGTTAAGTTTGGGTTTCCATGTTCCCAGCACCAGTGACCAAGCCTTCTTTCTGTTACTGCAGGTGTCACGGCTACCTAAGCTTACTCCCCGGAACAACGGAGCTGTAGACCAGTGCCCGCCGCCTAGGTATCACTATCTTATCTTGGATGTCCAAGAACTAATTTTGTAGACCAGGCTGGTCTTGAAATGACAAAGGTCCTCCTGCTTCTGACTCCTTCGTCCTGGGATTAACGGTGTGCACCACCACACTTGTCTGATTTTTTTTTTCAATGACAAAGCATAAAAACCACTTGTTTTTACTGTTTAAAATAAACAGTAAAACATAAGCTTTATACACTGTGGAGCCAGAATGACCGTCACAGAGTGTGGATGATAGTCCGGCTTCGAAGTTGCTGAATATACTCTTTGGCATGGTCAACTGCTGTCTTGGGTGCTTTGGGTAGGGGTGGGGGTCCTTCCACCAGCTTCACAAAATAGTGGCAATAGACCTTCTCCATGATACCAAAGCGACCTCGGCCATGGTAACGGAGGCGCTTCAGGCATTGGCCTCTTCCTGAGGTAGACTCAGCTATATATAAGTTGGATCTGAATTCCACATTATGGTCTCTCACTGCCATGTCTTGTGCTTCTAAGAGTACCTCTTTTATTATTTGAGCCCCCTTTTTGTCATTGAACTCCAACTGAGCCAAAGCCTGATCGATGGACATGCCTCGTATCAGTTTTGCCAGATACCACATCTTGTCCTTGCTGTATCTTATTTGTCTCCTACAATGGTAAATTTCTGCTGGTCTCCGA